CCTTCGCCGCTGGGCCGAGCCTGGGGTCGCCGGTCGCAGGAACGGGGGGGGGGCAGGGAAGGCAAGGGATCTCTTTTGGTAGGCGGCGCCGCGGGGCACGAGGCGTCGCATCAGCAACAGCTTGGGCGCGGCAGAGTCCACTGCGCACCGATGCAAGCGGGAGAGACGGGGAGAGCGGCCGCGGAGGCGGACCGAGGAGGGCGCTCACAGCGTGCAGCACTTCACGCGTGGCAGGGGAAGCTGGGACCACACGTGGCTTGATCCCCGGCTGGACCTGCGGAGGCAGCGCTGGATGCACTTTGCGGAGGGCCGGCGCGCCCTGACGAGCACGAAGGGCCGAGCGCTCAAGATGCGCGCGGCCACACTGTGCATCCAGTGCTGGAGATACGCGTGGCGATGACGTCGGCGTTGGTTTCAGACGCCGTGTGGATTCGTCAACCTAGAGCGATCAAAGGGCTTCTGGAAGCACTGATCGCTTGATGTCGGCTGACTCTGGGCCACTGGCGGCGTTCCATCTTGAACGCCCGCGCTGGGGTTGCCGCAGCGCAGGCACGGTGCGAGCCTCTGCCGTAGAAGAAAGCAGGAGAACCGGAGAAGGTAGCTCGTAGTTAACCTCTGGCTGCCGTAAAGAGGATGAAAGTGGAAAGAAGCTTTGTGCTGGTCAGCGCCTGACTGACGTAAGAAGGAGGATTATGAAGATTGCGGAGGAAGACGAGGAACGCAGAGTAATGAGGAATGGTGATGCTGATGCGGAGAGGGCGGGAGGAGGAGGAGGAGGAGGAGGAGGAGGAGCCTCGCGGCTCAGGTGGGAAGAGAAAGGTGATGATCAAGGGGTAGAGGAAGACGAAACGGAGCAACATCAGGAACAGGGGTGGGCGGGGATGATGATGATGCTGATGATGCTGGTGGCTATGATGATGAGGTGGATGATTCAATCGATTTGATTCGCAAGCGTGGACCTCTAAAGGTGCGTGTCTGGCTTTACTTGTGGATACATCTATGTGGGGCAATATATGTGGCGCAGTCGATGTGGAGCAATCTATGTGGTGCATTCAATCTTTGTTCGCAGTGAATTGTCAATTCCATTGCTCGCGTAATCATCTCAACCACCCACCCACCCACCCACCCACCCACAACTTGGTTTTCAAAACGTATGCGGCGGCGATTGCGATGACTGCTTGGCGCTGGTTGGCGCATCGCCGCGGCCGCGCTAGCGCGCGGAAGCTCTCGCGGAAAGCGGCCAATTAGTCTGGCGCGACCAACGCGGCCACGGTGGCGCTGACCGCTGTGCACTTCCCAGCGCGTCTCGCAGGCCGCTCTGACGCGCGGGCATTCAATGCGACCCCGTGCCTCGGGCGGGCGCGGTATCATGGCGACGTCGACGATGACGACGACGACGATGACGACGGCAAGGCCCATGATGGCACCGATGCTGCTCGCGCCCATGGCAATGATGGTGCCCACGTATCAGTCATGCAGGTTTTGAAAGAATGTTAACAGGCGAGCGCGGCCGACGGGCGCGAGTGCCCCGCATGGTTTTTTTTGAAAATGATCGCGCGACCACCCCCCAAGCACGCGCGCAAAGGCGTTCGAATGTGTTCGACCCGCGCGCGAGAGGCCCGCTTGGTCGCATGTCATGAACACGTTGACACGGTTTGCAAAAAACTGACCTCAAGCGCTAGCGCAGATTTTTTAGGGAAAACCATGTTGTAAAGCCAGTGTGCTGTATATGCATTCGAGAAACTCGGTCTGGACACCTGTACGTGTTGGAACGATTGCGGCATGCACGCGCGACGACGCGAGCGGGTAGAGTTTGTCATTATCTGTTGCGCGGGGTTATCGGACATTGATGGTTTTTTCCCAACCATCATGTGGTGTTGGGCCGTCGTTTTGAATAGACAGCGCGCCGCGTCACTCCTCTCCTCTCCTCTCCTCTCCTCTCCTCTTCCCTCCTCCTCCTCCTCCTCCTCCTCCCATCCGTCTCGTCACCTCCCTGCGTTTCACCCACCCAGTACAGCGTGTCGTGGCCCTATTAGGAGCTCCACCGAATGTTCCAGAGGCAGGGTCCGCATGCGTCAACGCCACCCAGGACAGCGCTTCGTGGCCCCATAGGGAGCTCCACCGACGGCTCCAGTGGCAGGGTCCGCATGCGTCAACGCCACCCAGGACAGCGTTTCGTGGTCCCATAGGGAGCTCCGCCGAAGGCTCCAGTGGCAGGGTCCGCATGCGTCAACGCCACCCAGGACAGCGTTTCGTGGCCCCATCGGGAGCTCCGCCGAAGAATCCAGTGGCAGGATCCGCATGCGTCAACGCCACCAAGGACAACGTTTCGTGGCCCCAGCCACAGAGCTCCACCGAAGGCTACAGTGGCAGGGTCCGCATGCGTCAACGCCACCCAGGACAGCGCTTCGTGGCCCCAAAGGGAGCTCCAACGAAGGCTCCAGTGGCAGGGTCCGCATGCGTCAACACCACCCAGGAAAGCGTTTCGTGGCCCCGTAAGGGGGGTCAACCGAAGTCTCCAGTGGCAGGGTCCGCATGCGTCCGCGCCCCCCATGACGGCGTTCCGTGGCCCCATAAGGAGCTCCACCGAATGCTCCAGTGGCAGGGTCCGCATGCGTCAACGCCATCCAGGACAGCGTTTCGTGGCCCCGTAGGGAGCTCCACCGAAGGCTCCAGTGGCAGGGTCCGCATGCGTCAACGCCACCCAGGACAGCGATTCGCGGCCCCATAGGGAGCTTCACTGAAGGCTCCAGCGGCAGGGCCCGCATGCGTCAACGCCACCCAGGACAGCGTTTCGTGGCCCCATAGGGAGCTCCACCGAAAGCTCCAGTGGCAGGGTCCGCATGCGTCAACGCCACACCCCTCACACGGTTCGTGGCCCCACAGGGAGCCTCATCGAAGGTCCCAGTGGCAGGGCCCGCATGCGTCACCGCCATCCATGGCAGCGTCTCGTGGTCCCATAGGGAGCTCCACCGAAGGCCCCAGTGGCACCGTTCGCTTGCGTCTCCCCCATCCAGGACAGCGCTTCGTGGCCCCATAGGGAGCTCCGCCGAAGGCTCCAATGGCACCGTCCGCATGCGTCTCCCCCACCCAGCCCCGTAGGGAGCTCCACCGAAAGCGGTACCCACAATGCGGCACTCGCAACTGCATATGTCTGGATCCTCCGACAGGCTAATTGAGAAACTAGTGCGCGCGCATAGTATTATTGTCAACGATGACTGGGGGGGATACCTGCTGGACTGGGATGGTATTAGCTTTTTTAATGAAGAGCGATGGGACATAACTTCTAACCACTTGTAAATCACACATCCCAAGGGTGGGGTCGGGAAACCCAGGGGCGTAGATCCGAATTCCTTTCTAGAAAGGAGAATCAATGTGGTGAAATCCACATGGCGCAACAGGTGTGATGCAATCTATGTTGTGCAATCTGCAATCTGTGCCACTTATGTTGTGCAACATCTGTCGTGCATTCTGTGATGCGGCAACGGGGCGGTGACGGCGGCAACATAGCCGCCAGAGCGGCAGACAGGCCCAGACGACGGGTGGCGACGAGGCGGCGACGGGGCGGGGACGGCGGCAACATCGCCGCCAGAGCGGCAGACAGGCCCAGACGACGGGTGGCCACGAGGCGGCGACGGGGCGGGGACGGCGGCAGCATAGCCGCCAGAGCGGCAGACAGGCCCAGACGATGGGTGGCGACGAGGCGGCGACGGGGTGGGGACGGGGCGGCGACGGCGGCAACGTAGCCGCCAGAGCGGCAACCAGGCCCAGTGCCTCAGAGCAGAAGTAAGATTCCCTACGTGCAAACACCGCTTGGGGAATACGTACCGGTAGACACAAATGCACAAACGGAGCCAGAGAGAAAGAACGAGAGAGAGAGAGAGAGAAAGCGAGAAAGAGAGAGAGAGAGAGAGCGAGTGCGAGAGAGAGAGAGGGAGAGAAAAAAAAAACGAGAACAAACAGAAAAGAGACACGCGCTCTGCCGGCTCGCCGTCCCGCAGACGGAGCGCGCGCCACGTATGCGGGGGGGCGTGGAGGAAGAAAGGCAGGGGGGGGCAGGAGCAGCAGGGGTTGTGTAGGAGGATCCAGGATGGGGAGTCTGATAGGGTTCTCGTGGGCTCCGCCGGTTCGGGGTTGGGGCTTCGAGGGGGGAGGGGGGCGGAGGATGGAGATGACGTTGGTGATGATGAAGAAGACGACGACGAACAGGAGCAGCATGACACATAAGAGGATATTAGGAGGGCGAACAGCAGGAGCAGGAAGAGGAAGATGAGGATGAAAAGGATGAGCCTGCACAAGACAGAGCAACAGCAGGTTGACGAATACGAGTAGGGGGCAGGAGGAGGAAGAGGAGGAGGAAGAGGAGCAGCAGCAGCAGCATCAGATGGGAGGGAGAGGACGATGACGACCACGACCACGACGCACGCCTGCGACGCATGAGTGGAGCTCGAGGGGGTGAGCAGCGGAGGAGACGCAGAAGGGTGCGGCTGCGGTGCGCGATCTTCGAGATCCGATGTGCTCAAGCCTCGTCTTTGAGGCGCGCATGGGCTGGAGGTAGCTGGGCATATTGTATTTTCCCGCCCGTCTTGCTTCTAAGCGCCCACGTTGTCCAGACATCGTTTCACATTCCTTGGCAACCACTTCGGGTGCGAGAACGGTTATCCTGTCCCATTGCGCAAAAACCAACGACAAAACGTGTGCGTGTGGTTACGCCATCGGGACGCCCGTCCAAGGGCGACTGGAACATTTGTACCCCTACTGCGGCACTTCGGGGTAAAAACTGTGCAGCCTCCCTGGGAAGAGGCCTTCCCGATGGCGGAACCAATTATATTGTGTCGTTCTTCGTCCGCTAATGTGCATCTCGTCTGCGATGATCCCGAAGAGAATCACGCTGGCGCGCGCAAACACTCGAGCAGAACTGTGTGAAGCAGAAGATCTGCAGCATGCGTCCCCGATGGCGAAACAATGTGCATATTATCGCTCTTCGTCCGCTGATGTGCATCTCATCCCCCATCAACCCGAAGATAATCACGACGGCGCGCGCAAACACTCTAGCACAGCGGTTTGAAGCAGACGGTCTCTGGACTGCTCTTGCGAACGGGCTGTGGGACATTTTTTCTGTATGGGCGCGCCCGATGATTGCGATCCAGTGGCTTTGCCTGGATGCGCGGCAAACTAGGAACCTGATCAGATAAGCTACCCAGTCTGCGATGAGAATGCGCGAGCCTCGCCGTCCTTTGACGTGCGGAAGCCAACGCGTCTCTTCCCCCCACACCTGAGGGGCAACGAGAAAGGGGGGCCGGCTCAGAGGGGATACCGTCGAGCTCGATTTCGCGATACATCGCCGATGGATCGGCGATAGGCCCACGATAGCGAGGCCGCACGTTCCTGGGCAGGGTGGGCTGTCGGGCCCCGATCGGCGATGACTGGGCGATGGCGGGTCGATGCGTTCCCCCCTGGGCCCATCCCCCCCCCCCCCAAACGTTGCCCCCTGGCTCTCGGGCCATAACTCGGGTATCCGGCGGCCGTTCGGGACGATCCGCACACCACCGGAACGCCCTCGGCGAGCCGCAGCTGCTGGAGAGCACCCCGAAGCCAGGAAACCGCCGCGAACCTACGGAAACGCCCGGAAACCTCGAACACTCGCCGCGTTCTCCCCCATATCGTTGCCCCCCTGATCCCCCCTGAGCCTATTCCCTCCCCCCCCCTAGCGCTTCCCCTGACCACGTCCCTCCCTCCCACTCAAACCGATAGGCTCGTACGGGCGGTGGCCGCCGACCTGGCGAGAACACGGCTCGGGTGCTGCTAGAAGTGCCCCTGGCCCAAGGTGCCCCGAGGATATCCAAGGAGGCCCCCACGGCCTCGAGAGAGCCCCTCACGAGGCCCAGGAGGGCCCCAGAGCCTCCAAAATGGAGCGAAAAGCTAGGGGCACCTTGAGCAACCCCCGAAAGACTGGGTACGAACGAACGGCTCGGGGTCCTCTGAGAGCCGCCCTGCTGAGGTCGACTACGCTCATGAGTGACCCCAGGTAAGAATGACCTTTGGTGTGCGACTTCAGGGGGCCGCGGGTAGTCCAAATCCAAGCGTGCAGGCTAGTGCCCGGGGACCCCTGTGAACCCACACTCGAGGGCACTCCGGCGAAGGGTCAATCTTACGCGACGCCGACCAGCGGACGTGTCGAGCGCCACCGGCTGGTCCGCAGCGCGCGTCGGGACGCTCTCCGACGTGCTCCGTGCATGCCGCGCTCGGATCGGGGATCTGCTGACCCGGGTCAATGCAGACCTGGGTCAGTCGGGCCTGCACCCAAACCCGGGTCAATGCGAGGAGCCTGCAAGATCCTGCAGGGTCCTGCACCCAGACCCGGGTCAATGCGACCCTGGCCCTGCAGGATCCTGCAAAATTTGGCGCTCTGGCTGACCCCCGTGTGCATGGACCCCGACCCCGTCTCTTGAGCCCCGATTGGGGAGCGGCCCGCGCGCGCCGGGTCCAGGGTCGGGGCAGCAGATCCCCCTGGCCGGGGTCGCGGCTGCGGGGCTCCGAGGCCGACGGCCCGCCAGCGTGCTGGGGCGCCTAGCCCCCGCGGCGCGCTCGGTCGCCGCGGGCCTACTCGGGGATCGTCCCCGCGCATGCCTTGTGCTCCAGCCGGCAGCAGTCCGCCATCGTGCCCCTCGGCACGCGGTGGAGTGGCGCGGCGCCGTTTTTGTTTTTCCCTACCATCCTGTGGTGTTGGGTCCTCGTTTTGACGAGACGGCGCCCCGCGTCTCCTCTCCTCATCTTCCTCCTCCTCCTCCTCCTCCTCCTCCTCCTCCTCCTCCTCCTCACACGGTTCGTGGCCTCATAGGGTGCTCCACCGAAGGCCCTAGTGGCAGGGTCCGCATGCGTCAACGCCAATCATGTAGGGACACCCCTCACACAGTTCGTGGCCCCATAGGGAGCTCCACCGAAGGCCCCAGTGGCAGGGTCCGCATGCGTCAACGCCACCCAGGACAGCCCATAGGGAGCTCCACCGAAGGCCCCAGTGGCAGCGCCCGCATGCGTCAACGCCACCCAGGACAACGCTTCGTGGCCGCATAGGGAGCTCCACCGAAGGCTCCAGTGGCAGGGTCCGCATGCGTCACCGCCACCCAGGTCAACGCTTCGTGTCCCCATAGGGAGCCCCACCGAAGGCCCCAGTCGCAGGGTCCGCATGCGTCACCGCCACCCAGAACAACGCTTCGTGGCCCCATAGGGAGCTCCACCGAAGGCCCTAGTGGTAGGGTCCGCATGCGTCAACGCCACCCAGGACAGCGCTTCGTGGCCCCATAGGGAGCTCCACCGAAGGCTCCAGTGGCAGGGTCCACATGCGTCAACGCCAGCCAGGACAACGTTTTGTGACCCCATAGTGAGCTCCACCGAAGGCTCCAGTGGCAGGGTCCGCATGCGTCAACGCCACTCAGGACAAAGGCTTCGTGGCCCCATAGGGAGCTCCACCGAAGGCCCCAGTGGCAGGGTCTGCATGCGTCAGCGCTACCCAGGACAACGCTTCGTGGCACCATAGGGAGCTCCACCGAAGGCCCCAGTGGCAGCGCCCGCATGCGTCAACGCCACCCAGAACAACGCTTCGTGGCCGCATAGGGAGCTCCACCGAAGGCTCCAGTGGCAGGGTCCGCCTGAGTCAACGCCACCCAGGACAGCGCTTCGTGGCCGCATAGGGAGCTCCACCGAAGGCTTCAGTGGCAGGGTGCGCACGCGTCAAAGCCACCCAGGACGACGTTCCGTGGCCCCATGGGGAGCTCCACCGAAGGCCCCAGTGGCAGGGTCCGCAGGCGTCAACGCCACTCATTTAGGCACACCCCTCACAGGGTTCGTGTCCCCATAGGGAGCCCCACCGAAGGCCCCAGTCGCAGGGTCCGCATGCGTCACCGCCACCCAGAACAACGCTTCGTGGCCCCATAGGGAGCTCCACCGAAGGTTTCAGTGGCAGGGTGCGCACGCGTCAACGCCACCCAAGACAGCGCTTCGTGGCCCCATAGGGAGCTCAGAGCTCCATCGAAGGCTCAAGTGGCAGGGTCCGCATGCGTCAACGCAACCCAAGTAGGCACACCCCTCACACGGTTCGTGGCCCCACAGGGAGTTCCACCGAGGGCCTCAGTGGCAGGGTCCGCATGCGTCACCGCCACCCAGGACAGCGCTTCGTGGCCCCATAGGGAGCTCCACCGAAGGCCCCAGTGGTACCGTTCGCATGCGTCTCCCCCACACCCAGGACAGCGTTTCGTGGCCCCGTGGGGAGCTTCACCGAAGGCCCCAATGGCACCGTTCGTGCGCCTCCCCCACCCAGCCCCATAGGGAGGAGCTCCACCGAAACCGGTACCCACAATGCGGCACTCGCAGCTGCATATGGTTGGGTCCTTCGTCAGCCTACTTGTTTGTTGTTGTCCCTCCTGCGCGCCGGCGTCGAAAGTGCCACTACGGAGCGGCACGGCGCCGTGTGCTGTCTGGCGGGGTCTCCTGCGGCTTGCTCTCGAAGGGGCCCCCCGCCCGCCCTGTCGCACCCGCCACCCCCCCAGCTCGCGTAAACCCCACCCGCTCCAAGGGCCCCCTGGGCGCCCTTCACTCCTCTGGGGAATTTGGATTTGTCGGGAGTTCACCGGGAAACCGTTTGGGGCACTGGCCGACTGGCCGTCTCCCCGACGGGCCAACTGGCCGACTGCGGAGTCGAAAAGTTCTTTCCAGTGCCTCAAACATTTTCCTTCTCATCTGGGGCGGTCTCCGAGGCGTCCAGGCCAGGATGCCGAAGGTTGCATCCAAGACAGCCCAAGGAGTCACCCAAGATACGTAACAGGCCTCGAAGATGACCCAAGAGACCCCAAGAGAAGCCATGCAAGGCCCTGTGACAAGCAACAGACAGCGGCAATGTTTGACAAACGGCAGTTTTTGTTTATCTGTCCTTCCCGAGCTTTTCGGCACAAGATGGCCTCCAGAACGCACACGAGGGCACATGTGATGCCGAAGAGCTCCAGAGTCACCCAAGTGGGCTCAATGATTGCCAAAAGGGCTCTGGAATGGGCCGAAGACGGCCGCCAATACAGCCCCATATAGCGCCAAAGCCCTGCAAGACGGCCCCAGAACAGCCCCCAATCCTACCAAGATGGCCCAAAGGGCCACAAGAGGGCGCAAGAGGCCGCCAAGACGGCCCAAAGGGCGCCCGAGACGGCCTAAGACAGACGAGAAGGTCTCCAAGACGCCCTGGAGGGCCCTGAGAGACCTCCAAGGACACCCCCCGAGGGTTCCAAGAGGCCCCCCCCCGGGCGCTCCGAGAAGGCCCCAGCACCGCAGACTCATTCGCCCTCCCTCCTTCTTCTCATGTGCTCCTTCTCTCTCTCTCTTTCTCTCTCGTTCTCTCTCGTTCTCTCTCTCTCTCTCTCGTTCTCTCTCGTTCTCTCTCGCTTTTTTTTTTTTCTCTCTCTCTCTCTCTCTCTCTCTGCGCACACGGCGTGCACCGCCCGGCGGCCCCCGAGGGTGGGCACCGAGAGGGGCGGCCTTCGGGGTGCACTCGGCTGCGGGCCCACGTGCGACCTGCTCGGCCCGCGGCTCTCTCTCTCGCTCGCTCTCTCTCGCTCTCTCGCGCTCGCTCGCGGTCGCTCGCTCGCTCGCGCTCTCTCGCTCTCTCGCTCTCTTGTTCCCTCCCTCTCTCTCTCTACTTTTCCCTCTCTGCCTCTCTCTCCCCCTCTCTCTCTCTCTCGCTCTCTCTCTCGCTCTCTCGCTCTCTCTCTCTCTCTCTTTCTCTCCGTCGCCACCCTGGCTCAGGCTGCTCGCGCGCGCTCCTCGCTCGGGCGCCTGTGCGGGTGGCCGGACGGGAAGGGGCCCGCGGGGGTGTGGCCCGCTAAGGCGCTCTGCCGCGGCGCACGGCGCGGGCTGCGGCGGCGGCGGCGGCGGCAGATGCGGCCACTCGGCGGCTGCAGCCGCAGCTGGCGCAGGCCCCTGCCGAGGCCGAGGCGCTGCGTGCTGAGCTGGGCGCGCTGCGGGATGTGCCCGGCCGCTGCGACGAGGTGGGGGGTCGTGTTCGTCTCATCGTTCCCGCCCTCGCTGCCAGAGTCGCAGACGCCGATGCGCCGCCTGCCGTGGTGGTGCTTCGCAGCCTGGCGGCCCGCGAATTAGGAAAGCCTGCTGCGCACGTGCCGGCGGACCCGACCGGCCTTAACCGTGTTCAACTTCATGGTGCTGGAGGACGTCGTCGTCGCAGGAGGCGCCGTACTCGTGGTGCTGACGCGGAGGAAGGGGCTGGCGAGGCTGCGTACCTGACCCTTGACGTGCTGGAGAAGAAGTTCAGGACGGCTGCACCCTGGTCGGATGTTGCCGTGAAGGCCGTCCATGGCTGGCTCTGCACGTGTGGCGCCACCTTGGTCTCTCTAGATGTTCAGAAACGTCGTGTCGCACAGGGGGTAGCTGCAGCTTTGACTGATGATATTCAGATGCATTTGTCTGTTTGCAGTGGCGGCCATGGTGAGGGCACGAGCGACGGTTAGTCGGAGGTTGTTGAAGTCTCTGAGGCTCTTGTTAGACACGTTCTCCGTGCTGATGCGCCGGTCGTCGTGCCGGTGTGGGCGATGGAAGGCCCTACGTACGAGCGGGACTTGGATGCGCCGATCGGCGATGCCGCCATGAAGGATGGGCCCCACGAGGTCGAGGAGCAGTGCAGGGCGGCGGCTGACGGTGCCGAGGGGGCCGTGGCACCGCAGAGGGGTAGGTTGCGGGAGCCGACGGAGAAGGCCGAGCGCAACGGCCGCGATCCCTTCCCCCCACGCTCGTGGACGAGATCCTCGGCCGCAAGTGACGCTGCTCCTTGTGAACGTGCTGTTCCTGCGCTTCCGCGCCTCCGAGGTCCTCGTCACGATCGGGGGGTCCAGCGTTGGTCAGGTCCAGCGCTGCCCCCCCGCGGGCGCCACGTGAGTGGATTGAGCCATGCTACTCATCTCTCTCTATCTCTCTCTCTCTCTCTCCCTACTTGTCTCTCTCTCTCTCTTTCTCTACCTCTCTCTCCTTCCTCTCTCTCTCTCTCTTTCCTCTCTTCTTTTTCTTCCGCTCATCACCCGTACCCTCCCTCTCCTTCTCGTCATCTCCCCCTACCGTCTGGTTCGGCCGCATGGGTGCTGGGGAGGCAAGCTGTGACATGTTACGGGCCGCTTGGGCCCGAGGAAGAGGGGCAACGCACGTTGGGGTTCGCTGGCACCGAGGACGACAACTACCACATGCAACGGCCTCCCTCAGCCCGGGGAGGATACTGCCATGTGGCACGGCCCACCCAGAGCCCAGGGGCGGGAACTGCCTCGTGCCGAACTCTTTCTGGGCGGTTCTCAGCGAGTCGCCGCACGGAGTGCCGCGCTTCTGAAACAACCCCCTCCCCCATCGGGAAAATGTTGGGTCCGTTAGTCGACCTACACCCCCCGGAGGGGACGGGTGCCGTCTCCCACCAAGAAGGGTACTCTGGGAGAGCTGCTTAACCTTGATCCTGTCGCGGCCAGGGCCACGATAAATCTGACGACGACGAGTCTTGGCACGATAGCGGAACATGCCGCAGGCACCAGGATAGTCGATCTTCGCAGGCGACCAGGCCTGGCGGATGCAGCGCATGCACTCGTGATAACCCGCGTCGCAGTCGTAGACGGACGTGTCCGGCTGGGGGGGGACACCCGAGGGCGGCAGGCCCGAGGGCGGCGGCAGTTCGGAAGGGCAGCCCCTGTGCGCAGTCCTGCAGCAGAAGATCTGCCGACCCCTCGGGGGCACCGGCGCGAGGACATCCGACCGTTTCGAAACAAGAAGGCTGGACGCGAATGTACGGGGGGCGATCAGTGGGGGGGGGGGAGAAAGGTGCCTCTCTCGGGCCCTGGAAGCCCCCTCTTGGGCCCTAAAGGGCCCCTTCAGGGGCCCTGAAAGGCCCCTATGCGGCAACCCTCGCTGCCCCCGGGCACTCCTCGCCCACCCAGTACGTGTCCTCCGAGGAACGTTGCCGTGGCTTTCGGCCTCCGGGGGCCCTCGCCGAGCCCCAGGGCCGTGAACAAGCACCTCGGAGGATGAAGCGCGCAGGCCCCACGGGGGAAGGGTCGGCACTGCCCCGGGGGTGCCCCGTCTTGAAGTATAGCTGGCTGCTCGACGCGGAGATCCCCATACAGTAGGAGCTCGACCACAAGAAACCTTTCACAAGAAACCCAACCCTGAGTCCCCGGGATTTGCATTGATTCCCTATCTAAGCTCTGCCTAGAAGGGTTCTTACTCTGTTGGCTTAAAGGGGCCGGGCAGTGGGGCTCGCCCCGGGCGGTTCCCCCCGCATCCGCCCCGCGGTTCTCCCAGTTACGTCCCCTTAGCTTAGCGTTGCTTACCTCATCTTAGCTTAGCTTGTTCATATTAGCTTAGCTTAGCTTCATATTAGCTCTGGTATATCTTAGCTTAACTTACCTTCATCTTAGCTTCGCTGAGCTTTAGCATAGCAGAGCACAGCATAGCGTAGCATAGCGCAGCACAGCATATCATAGCATAGCCCAGAATAGCATAGCATAGCGCAGCATATCATAGCATAGCATAGCATAGCATAGCGCAGCACAGCACCGCACAGCACAGCACAGCGCAGCATAGCATAGCATAGCAGAGCAGAGCATAGCGCAGCTTAGCATAGCATAGCATAGCATATCACAGCTTACCATAGCACAGCGCAGCATGTCATAGCATAGCTTAGCATAGCATAGCAGAGCATAGCGCAGCATAGCATAGCATAGCATAGCGCAGCATGGCATAGCATAGCATGGCATGGCATAGCAACTAATGCTGCTTTCCTGGGGGCTCCAATTTCTAGGTAGGGTCGCACTGGGGTATTTTTTTTGTTTTGGGACGTCACGCTTCCAATAGGGAAATCATCGAAACCAAAGAAACCCAGAGCACCCTGGAGGCAAGCAGGGCGTTTCTTGGTATGATTTGTCTTTTGTATGTGCATCTCATTTGCTGGCACGTCTCGCTACGAGTGTCTGGATTGAGTGTCTGAGTGTGACAGCGAGTTCAGGTGGACGGAAAGGAACGACGTACGATAAAGACGATTCGGCTCGCTGTGAGTGTCTGGATTGAGTGTCTAAGTGTGACAGCAAGTCCAAGTGGACGACGGCCACGACGAAGACGGCGACGGCGACGGCGGCGGCTACGATGAGGGGCAGTGACGATGACGACAGCGACTCACAGACAGACGGTGAGCAAGTCCCTCCTCTCTCCTTCCTCTTCCTCCTCGTCGTGCCCCCTCGCTGCTCTTCCTCCCTCGCTCCTTCTCCCTCCCTCTGCGTCCAGATGAATTCTACCTCGACCCTCGCTGCTCCTTCCTGGCGGCCGTCCTTTTTCCTACATCGAGGTGTTCATGTGGCTCTGACGGGACAGGAGTCTAAAGTGCAAAACGAGCGCATCGCTCGAGACGTCCCCACACTCTGACAGCGAGCATGCGAGTGTCCTAACCCTTGTCGGCTCCCCCTTTGGGGGCTGAAGCTAGCGCCTCGCGAGTATGAATGAGCCTGAATGAGGAAGATGAGGATGTGAGTGAGTCTAAGTATGAGCGAGTCTGAGTATGAATCAACTCCCGCTCGCGTGCTGCACCGCCCTCCAGACGGAACACAATGGAACATGTGAAGATGGGATGATTTTGACCTGGGGATCTAGATACATATATACATATGTGTATGCACACATATATAGATGGGACATGTGAACATACCATGTATGACAATAATTATGTGAGCCAGGCAGGCGTTTCGGCTCAAGATGGCACCAACGGGGCCTCTGACGAGCTCCCCTGAAAAGCAGGGGGCCCCAAGATGGCCCCACGAGGGGACCAAGACGCCCCCAAGAAGGCCCAGCACGCGTACTACCCGCAATCTTGCCATACCGCCCGAGCGGGGAGGAGGAGGAGGAGGAGGAGGAGGAGGAAGAGGAAACGGACGAGGAGGAGGAGGAGGAGGACGAGGACGAGGAGGAGAACGAGGAGGAGGAGGGGGAGGACGCGAAGGATGGAAGGAGGATGGCGAGACAGAAGGAGGAAGGACGGGAACGGGCAGGAGGGAACGAGGGAAAGAGAGACGAGAAAGGGGGCACTGCGGACAACGAGGACGAGGATAAAGAGGGCGGCCAGGAGGAGTTGGAGTACGAGGGCGAGAGAGATAAGGATGGCGGCGGCAAAGCTGAGGAGGGGGAGGAAGAGGAGGAGGAGGCGGAGGAGGAGCTGCGCGCGACACGAGTGGCAGGCACCAACCTCGCATCCAACCCATGTCCGAAATGCTCTCGGCCGCCGAGCGGACGCGATGGAGGGATCGCCTGGCCGTGCCCCCCCCGCGAAGCGGTGCGCATCTTCTTGGCGCCGCTCCAGCCGCGCACCCACTGCAGCGGGTCGAGGTCGTTGTACCCAGCGTCGCAATCGATGGGGCACGGTGTCGTGGTGGATGTCGGCACAGCCGGGGGCGGTGGGGCAGGGGGGGGCGGGGGCGGGGGGGGCGGGGGGGGGGGCGGGGGCGGCGGCGGGGTCGTCGGGCACCCCATTCCGCGCTTGTCGCAGCACCACGCAGTCTTGCCGATGGTCCAGGTTCGCTGGGCGCCCACGGAGCAATCGTACGGCAGCTTCGAAGTGGTCAGCGCTGGCGCCAGCAGCGGGGGGGCTGCAGTAGTGCTAACGGTCGTCGTGGAGGTGTCCATTTCTGGCACGAGCAGCCACCACGCCAGCAGGAGCAGCAGCAGCGGCAAGGCGCACAGCCCCAAGCAGACAGCAGCGCAGCAAGAGCCCCCTCTGGGGATCTCCACAAGGCCCCACTGCCCTGCGCCGCCTCCAATGTACCTGAAAGTCTGCTGCAGCACGAAGTCCCCGCCTGGCCCCACGTAGGACATGACGTCGGTGCCCCCACTGCACCCCGACCCCTCGCAGCAAGCGCCTCGGCAATGCTCCTCCCCGCAACTGCAGGGTGAGCTGCAACAGCCGTCCTAAGGGAACAATACGATACCGATACCCCTAACCCCGGGACCTCTCGAGGGCTTCGCTCTGACCCTGATCTCGAGGAGAATCTGGCCATGGCGATGAGGGCTCCACAGGACGAGCGGCGACGTCGCTACATCCCCCTCCGCTGACGTCCTCCCCGGTCGGCACGGCCATGTAGCCGGGCGCGCCATAGGGCCCGCGGCCAGCCCCTGCGGCGTAGCCCTGGGCGTGGTGGGCGCCAGCGCCGCCGCCCTGGCTCGCCGCGCGGTCGGCACCGGCGGGGGCAATGCGAGGCGCGCGTGCGCCTCCCCAGGAGGCTTTGCCGCCCGCGTTGCGCCAGGCGCCAGCCATGGCGCGCGGTCGCGCGCGCACGGCGGGTACAGCTACGCCATCCGCCGCCGAGAGCAAATTCTCCGAAGCGCCTTCAGAATGCTCGTCTTTTCGCTTTCCCTGAGTTCCTGAGGCCTCCAGATGACTCGAGTATCGCCCAGGAGCACTCCGAGAGGGACCCAGACTGGCTGTAAGAGATCTTCCAAGATACCCCGAGAGCGCCCCAGGCGTCCCAGGAGTGGCCCGCAACAGCTCCAAGTGGGCCCCAAGGGGGGCCCGGAGTGGGGAACAATGTGTGGCAGGCATATGCTTGTTCTTGGAAGCTTGGGTGGCCGCGGGAGTAGCTTTCCCAGAGGGGGGGGAGCTGTTCCCGTCCTATGCTTTGTTGATTTGACTGGGCCTCTCCTGATGCGAAGGCCTCGTGCATTTGCAAACATACAGGACCCCGTCCCGTCCCGCCTCGAAAGCGCGTCTTCGCTTGGAGTCCAGGGGGGCGTGGGAGCGTCTGGCAGCATCATGGCAACCAACATCACACAATGTACCACCAAGGCGCTTGCCGCCATCGCTTGGACCATCCCTTGCATGGTTATCATTACTATCACCATCACATTCACCATCACCATCACCATAGCCATCATCATCATCATCATCATCATCATAATCATCATCATCATCATCATCATCATCATCATCATCATCATCATCATCATCATCATCATTGCCATCATCATCATCATCATCATCATCATCATCATCACCATCACCATCATCAACAACAGCAGCATCATCACCACCATCAGCATCATCACCATCGCCATCATCGTCATCATCGTTATCAACAACACAGTTATCATCATCGTTATGAACAACACCATCATTACCAACAGCATATCGTCGCCATCACGATCATGACCATGGTCATCATCATACACATCATCACCACCATCGGCATCATCATCATCATCGGGACACCAGCATCATAATCATCAGAACCATCATCATCATCATCATCATCGTCATCATCATCATCATCATCATCATAGTCATCATCATCGGCATCGGCATCGTCACCGTCGCCATCATCATCATCATCATCATCAACATCATCATCTCCATCATCGGCATCATCATCATCATCACCATATGCATCATCAGCATCGTCATCACTATCATCATCATCAGCGTCATCATCCTAGTTGTCATCACCATCAAGATATCGGGGTCGCCATCATCATCAGCATCATCAGCATAACCATCGTCATCATCAGCATCGGCATCAACATCAGCAACATAAGCATCATCATCGCCATCATCAGTATCACCTTCACGGTCGTTCACACCGTGACCATGGCAACGATGCAGACGGCCATGGCGAACGCCGCCAATAAGACAACCATGGCCCTTGAATGGTCACCATCGGCACCACCATCATGATCACCGTCGCCATGATGATTTGCATCGACCTTACCATTCGGCTGGCGACGACTGCGACGGGGCCAATGGCGAACGCCCCACCCGAAGCGCCGAACCCAGGAACGCGCCTCACCCTGCGCGCGCCCCGCCCTCTGTAGCCCGCGCGACGCGCATCTGAAAATCAAACGAAAGTGATTTTCACCCAGGTATCAAGGTGATCGGGGCCGAGCGGTGTGAAATTGTCTCTGCACGGTTCGCTGCCCTTGATTTTGCTGACGCGGTTGCCGCTATATCGGACCACGGCCCACCCGCGACCCACCCACGACAAATCGACGCGCCAGGTCTCTGGGGGGGAGAGGGCGGAGACACCGAGTCGAGACGCCTGCGCGTGTGCAGGCACCCCTGCACGGGCCCGCGCGCAACGTGTGCACGCGCGCGCACACGCGGAGAGGGGAGGACCTCTCGGCGCGCGCGTGCGCGCGGTCTCGGCGGGGGGGCACGGCGTCGGCGCCTCCAACGGCCACGAACTATGCCCGCGCGCTGGGCTCCAGAAGCCCTGAACAAGGAGTGTTCGTACCCCTTCGTGGCGTATCGTTGTTTCCGCCGCCTTCCGCCGAGGGAGAAACGTCAACCTCGCGGATCCTCGCAGGCGGGGCCATTTCCGGAGCGCTCCATATGACGCCGATTATCAACTTGCCACTCGGGGGGCTCGCGAGACAGAGGTTTATTTCTCGGGTGAACATGCGCCAACATGAGCGGTGGCACGGACACCTTTGGGCCGTGCCATGGGAGACAAAACCTTCCTCCAGTGCGGGGGATGACATTTACCTACAATAACCAACAATACAACCCGATGAGGCAAACTTGAAAAACCAGGCCTTGTCACTCGCAACGCCAACCTGTGAAAACGTAAAAACAAAAATCCAGTGCGGGGGGAGAAATAACGATACATCAAAGCTGACCGCTTCGACAGGGGCACTGCCACCGAAGAGGGCCCCACGCCTTCACGGCAGATGCCAATATCCCTAACTGGACGACTCTTCTATATCTAAACGGAAAATCCAATATCGATTTCGAATGCGTTGATCCCTCTGCTTCCCGCCCTTGGACCATTTCCGCAGAAAGCGCGTCACCCACGAACCAGGTTGCAGCCCGGTGCTACTGCTCCCCCTCTTTGCCTGTCAATTGGCACCCAGTCGCATTTCCCGTGTATCACACACATATTTATATACATATATATATATATATATATATATATATATATGTTGGCTGCCGTGGGACCCACTGTGTGTGTTTCTAGCAGCTTCCAATGTTTGTGGTACATTCTATGTGGTGAAGTTCGCCTTGCCGAACTTGAAATTGACAGCGCCACTGCTCGCGCAATCATCCCACCCACCCACCCACAACTTGGTTTGCAAAACCCATGCGGCATCGATTGCGATGACTGCTTGGCGCTGGTTGGCGGGTCGCTGCGGCGGCGCTTGCGCACGCAGACTTGCGCACAAAGCAGCCAGCTAGTCTGGCGCGACCGACGCGGCTGCGCTGGCGCTGACCGCTGGGGCCTTCCCAGCGCGTCTCACAGGCCGCGCTGACGCGCGGGCATTCCAGTGCAAATCGGTGACTAGGGCGGGCACGGTGTAATGGCGGATTCGTCAACGGCAGACACGATGATGATAATGGCGATGCTGGTGACGACGATGACGATGACGACGGCGCCACTGACGGCGCCGATACTGATCACGCCGACAACGATGATGGTGTCCACGCGTCGGTAGTGCAAGTTTCGGAAGGATTTCGGCATGCGCGCGCGGCCGACGGGCGCGAGTGGTCCGCATGGTATCATTTGACAGGGATCGTACGCTCCAGCACGTGCGAAAAGGGCATTCGAATGATTCCAGAATGCGCGGGCGAGAGGCCCGCTGTCGCTATTGATGAACATGCTGTAGACCGAAGGCTCTCTTATGAATTCGCAAGAGCGCGCGCAGATCTTTTTTAAACAAGGGCTGCAAACCCAAAATTGTTATGCGTTTTCGGGGCAGTAGGTTCTGACATCCCTACGACACCAACGGTTTTGACGGATTCCGGCACGCGCGCGCGCGACGACGCGCGCGTGCACTTTGTCCCATTTGTTGCAAGGACTTGTTGAACAATGATGATTTTGAGTAAACGAATGTCCGCGCATAGAATTTGTTGCGGATGATAATGGAATGGGATTGTCTGACTTCACACCTTGAAGGATCGATGGGGCAAAATCGTTTGTAGATTGCACTTTCCCAAGGGGGACAGATAATCCCTCTGGGAAGGGGTGGTAGATTTGGTCTCCCATTGAGAGAAAGGGCTATAGATAAAGATTGTGCAGCCTATGTTGTCGAATATATGTTGTGCAATTTATATGAAGCAACCAACCTATGTGGTGCGATCGATGTGGCGCAGTCCTTGTTGCGGCGACTAGGCGGCGACGGGGCGGCGACGGCGACGACATGGCCACCCGACCTGCACGCAGGTCCAGTCGACGGGCGGCGACGAAGCGGCGACGAGGCGGCGCCGGCGACGACATAGCCGTCAGATTAGCACGCAGGCCCAGACGATGTGCGGCGACGAAACGGCGATGGGGCAACGACGGCGACGACATAGCCGCCAGACCGGCACGCAGGCCCAGACGACGGGCGGCGACGAGGCGGCGACAGGGCGGCAACGGCGACGACACAGCCGCCAGATTGGCACAGCGGCCCAGTTCGTTGGAAGAGAACTAAGACCCCCTCAGTGCAAAAACTGTGTTGTGCATGCGTGATTATGCATATGCGTCGCAGTGTGAAGCCGAACGGAAACAGAGCAGGAGTGTGCGATGAATGACGCGGAGATTTGTCACAGACCTCGGACGGAGATTTACTATGTATGCCAAAACCGCGTGCGTATCTCTCGAATCAAATCACCCCTCTGTACAAGTCATGCTTCATGCTGGTCTCTACATATGCGGCACCAGGATGAAAGGAGGTGCGGTGTACGTCTTGCCATTGGCCGTGAACGTCACTGTGGTGGTCGATCGGAATTTCTCGCCGACGAGAAACTCTGGGTCCTGATCGCTCTCCCCCGGGAAGACGAAGTAGTTCGTCTTGCCGTCTCTCATGTTCGCATTGCCATCCTCGTCCTCATTCTTGTCCATGTCGCGTACATTCAGCTGAACGCTGCGATTTTCCTTAGTCGCAAAGGTTGCTGTGATCGTCGTGTCTGCAAGGAAATCCAGTGGCTCTGACATGGCACCGTCCTTGCATATCCAAAGCTCGAGGTCACCGGCATCGTCATGAAGCTTCAGCTCGATGAAACCAACATGCTTTCCATCAGCGTCTTCAAGAACCGCCATGATGCCTCCTTGGGTAGGGGCTGCTCCAGGATGCACGTTGATCGTTGACACCTGGTCGCCGCACTTGATCGCGAACTTGTCACCATCAGCGGCCGTCGGCGTCACCATGAAATGCGCATGGTCGTCATGACCCTCCCCTGTAACCGGATCGCTGATTCCCCCGGCCTTGCTGTCCTGCACCCATGCAGTAAACCCCGCGACCTTGCCGGAGCCCACGGGCTCTACCCCAAACTCGGTCTCAAAGCCCTTGTCGAGCTGCCTGGGGAGAACAGAAGGTACCGATACCGCCACCTCCTGGACCTGTCCCGGGGTGCGTTCTGGCCAGAACTCCGAGGCGAATCCGGCGGTGGCGACGAGGGAAAACGGCCAGAGGGTATAGGTATGGGTATCTTTTCCTCCTCCGACTGCCCATCACGATCAACCATGAACTTTTCGCCTCCGATAGTGATGTTGCCGAGCGCCACAATGCCGCCGCCGTGGTCGTGGGCAGAGCCGTGGCCCACGCCGTGGGTGTGGCCGTGGCCGTCGCCGTGGCTGTGGCCGTGGCCGTCCCCGTCTCCTGCTCGGGCTGGTGGTAATGGGGGGTGACCCAAAGACGGGGTGAAGCAAAGGGCCTCAAAGGGGCCTAAAGTGGCTAGGGCCCCTTTTGGGCACCAACTGGCTCCAAAAGGGGCCCTTTAGGTGTCTTTTCTTCACCTCCCATGTGGGTCACTCCCCATTACCACCTGCCCGACCTGCGCCATCATCGCCATGAACGATCGCTTTCGGTTCGACGACGTTCTTTATGAACTCCATCTTGCGCCAATCCTGAGAGCGCGGTTGAAGTACACAGGTGTGGATGCAAAACGCTCTGCCCTTGACGTTTTGCAGTGTCAACTGGAGGAGCACCCTCGGAGGTCACTGCGAAACCCAGCGGGAAAAACTCCTGGGAGCGTGGCACCCGAGAAACATCTAGGAGCTCATCCGACGGGATTTGTTGGCACCCGGAGAGGGGCGTCTTGGAGCTCCTGTGGCGCTCATGGGGGCTTGTGGTTGCGCCAAAGAAGCTCCTGTGGTCCCCTGGGGCCTCCGGGAGGCAACTCTCGGGCCCCCAAAGGCTTCTGGGAGTCCTCCTGGAGGCCACGATAGAGTGATAGCGTGTGTGTGTGTGTGTGTTTTTGTGTGTGTGTGTGTGCGTCTGGGTGTGCGTGTGCGTGTGCGTGTGGGTGTGGGTGTGTGTGTGTGTGTGTGTTGAAGAGGCCCTGGGACACACAAATAAATAGACACAAATAACTGGATTCCCAATATTTTCCCATATGTTCTGGGCTTTCGTCTTCCGCCCCTCTCCATATTTTCACATATTTTCTGGGGGTCGACGATTAATTGTGTCTGTTTTTTTTTCCCCCTCCTGATATGTGTGTGTGTGTGTGTGTGTGTTTGTGTGTGTGTGTTTGTGTGTGTGCGTGCGTGCGTGCGTGCGTGCGTGCGTGCGTGCGTGCGTGGGCGTGTGTGTGCGCGTGTGTCAACAGCGGGGTCTGAGCGTGGGGGGAGCACGTTTCACAGACGATGTGGCTGCTTGAAAATCACACGATGGCTCAGATTCGCACCCCACAGAAAAACCATCCGACACCGGGTTTCTCCCCCTCCCCTCCCTCCCACATAACCACAGCCCCCATGGAATTTCCCCCATGCGGCCGAAGCGACTGGGTCGGAGGATCGCACCACGCCGCCGAAGCATCGGCGATGGCGGGGTGGAGAAGGTAACTAGGGCTCCAGATCGCGCCCCCTCGCCGACGCATCGGCGACGCGGCGCGACCCCCCAACAGCATCTACTTCGACCCACATTCGGGAGGCCCCCCCCCAACCCACGCGGCCACCCTGGGGCCAGGGCGGGGGACAGCTCCCAGTTTGCCGGGGGTGAACAATTACCCCCCCCATCCACCCACCTGCCGCCCCACAACCGCCACCCCCCTTGTCCCTGCGCCAGCAAACGACGACGACTGCGGCGGCGGCGGCGACGACGACCACGACCCCACACGACGACGACGACGACGACGAGGACGACGAGGACGACGACGACGACGACGACGACGACGACGACGACGACGACGACGACGACGACGACGACGACTACAACGACAACGACGACAACCATCTTGCGAACATGTGTGTGTGTGTGTTTGGGTGCTGGCGAGGAAGTATCAAGAGAACCGTTGTGGTCGCAGCTGGGCCTTCAGTACTTTGAATAACTTTCAAAGAAGGCTCGAACGAGAGTGCCTTTGCTGACTTCGGAGGCCTCTCTGGCCAGGGCGTCATGGGGTAAACTATAAGGACATATCGAGCGGGAGTCGTTGTCGTCGTAGCCGATGCTCTACAAACTCGAATGACTTGCGAAGAAGTCTCGAGCGAGAGCACATTCCCTCAGTTTCGGGGCCTCTCTTGCCAGGGCGTCCTGTGGTAAACCGGGAAGAATTATCGAGGGGGGGGGGGCCGTTGTCGTCCTAGCCAGGCCTTCAGGGCGCCACTTTTGGGACCAACCAAGCCCGCGCAGGAACGGGAACCTCGCGTTCTGAGAAAATGCAGATGACGTCGAGGCGAGAGCGCCAGGAACCGTTTCTGGAGATCGGCCACTGTTTGTTCGAGGCGAGAATCCGCCGACCCTGTCGGCGTCTGGGCCCCCTGTCGGCGTGCGCTCAATCGACGCATCCGTTGTCCTCTTTCAATTCCCTGCGTCTCCGTCTTCCCCTTTCCCTGCGCCCTTCTCTTCAAGTCTGCCAGCGAGAGAAAACCGTAGCAACGTTTAAGTCGAAGGGAAGCCCCTTCCCTTTGATCCCTCCCCCGCCAAAAGGGGTGGGGGTCCCGGGGTGGTCCCGGGGGGGTCCCGGGGGGGGTCCCCGGGGGAGGGGGTCAGATACGCATCCGCCCCTGGGCGTCCCGGAGGCCAAAAAAGCGCCAAGACGCCAAGAGGGCCCCAAGCAGGCCCAAGAAGAGGACCACGAACCGACATGTCGAGCTTCCCGCCCCAAGAAGCCCCCAGAAGGCCCCAAGAGCCCCTCAAGGGGCCCGAAGAGGCCCCCAAGAGACCCCCAAGAGGCCCAACAGAGGCCCCAACAGGCCCGAAAAAAACCAAGAGGCCTTTCAACCACAACCCCGCACAGTGGCGGGAAGGGCCGCAGGCCACAAGGCTCCCTTTCTGTCTCTGCTACGACTCCCTCGGCCCACATGGGGAACATCTCCTTCGCCTTCTCCTGCTCCCTCCCACCTTAATCCACCGTCGTCGTCGTCTTCAGGGTCGGCGGCACCGGCCGTAACGCCTTAGCAATATAATTCTGCAGCGACCAACGGCGAAGACGACTGCGACGGCCGACGGCCACGACGACGACGCGTGCGGGGCATTAAATCCGATGCGCGGGTGGGGCGGGAGGGGCACTACAGCGGGCGGGTCGGTCGGTCGGGGCATCAAGAGCAAGCGGACAGACGGGGCATTCAAAAGCGGGCGGGTCGGTTGGGCGCAACGTGAAAGCGAGCGAGTGGGCGGGCGGGACATGGAAGCGGGCGGGTCGGTCGGGCGGGGTGTTGAAGCGGGCGGGCGGGCGGGACGCTCAAGCGGGCAGGGGTCGTCGTCGTCGCCGTCGGTCGTCGTAATCTGCACCGTGGTTTGCAAGCGCGAGGGGGAGGGGGGTGTCCGCAACGAGTCGCCCCACCTCAAGCGCGAAGTGCCCGCGGAAGGCCCCATGGTCTTCCATCTCCTTTTGCTCTGGGCTGGGACGGGGAGGCGTTGCTAAGCTCCATTTCCCCCTTGCGCCGGTACGGAGAATACCCAAACCCTCTCTCCTTCCCCTCAGGCGACCGAGAAACTCGCTCTTTCACAGCTTGCCAGGCATCTGGGAAGCCCTGGGAGGAGTGTTGTCACCAGAATTGGGTCAACAGGATTGTGTCACCAGCCCCTTGGTAAGCTTTGGGGGCTGAAATGGTGGGAGGGTCCTGAAACCCCTGTAAAGACCCCTGTCAACCCTTCGGGGATTGTGAAAGACATTGATCCTTTCGGGGGCTCCTGGGGAGCCACAGGAGGACTGTTTCTAAGGCACACGGAGGCCTCAGGTGGCGTCACAGCAGTGTTGCGCCAATCGCATAGCGTCAGCAGCATGGTGCCAATAGTGTAGTGCTGACGGCATGGAGTCAGCAATTGAGTGGCCGTAAGGTGATGCCAAAAACGTAAACTCTAGACGATTGGCGTATCCCCACCAGCCCGTCCAGAAATGAGTCCCAGGGGAGTGGAGGTGATGAGGGAAGCGGGGGAGCATGCAGAAGAACAAAGGGCGGGGTAAGCCGCCATATACCCCAAGAGGGGGAGGATGTAGGAGTCGTCGTCGTCGTCGTCGGAGTAGGAGGAGGAAGAGGAGGAGCAGGAGGAGGAGCCGGAGGAGGAGGGGGAGGAGGAGGAGGAGGAAGATAAGGAGGAGGAGATGGAGGAGGGCGAGGACGTGGAGGACGACGAGGAGAAGGAGAAGGAGAAGGAGGAGGAGGAGGAGGAGGAGGAGGAGGAGGAAGGAGGAGGAGGAGGAGGAGGAGGAGGAGAGAGGGAGGGGGAGGAGGGAGGAGGAAGAAAAAGAGGAGGAGGAGGAGGAGGAGGAGGAGGAGGAGGAGGAGGAGGACAATGGCGAGCTTTGGGGCCTCTTGGGCCGTCTTTGGGGCCTCTTGTGGCCTCTTGGGGGTCTCTTGGGAGCCTCTTGGAGGCCTCTTCGGCGCCTCTTGGGGCCTCTTGGGGCGCTCTTGGGGCGCTCTTGGGAGCCTTCGGGGCGCTCTTGGGGCCATGTTGGAGGAGAGCTATGAAGGAAGGGGGGGTCGTATATTAGCCTTGCCCCTCTAGAGTGCCTCGAATCGCTTCTTGGGCCCCGTGAGGCGATCTTGGAGCGCTCTTGGGCGCCCTTGGGGCCGTCTTGGGGCTCTCTTGGGCCTCTCTTGGGGCCCTCTTGGGCAATCTTGGAGCCATCTTGAGGCTTGTGAAGGCCATCGGAAGCGAAAAAGCGAGAAAGCCAAACACATTGATTTTCTTAAGGTTTTGGCATGATTTTGGCCTCTCGGGGAGCTCCGTGGGGAGCTCTTTGGCCACTTGGGGCCATCTTGGTGCGGTCTTTAGGCCTCTTGGAGCATCTTGGTATCCATCTTGAGGCATCTTGCGCTATCTTGAGCCATCTTGGAGGCTATCTTGGGCTCTCTGAGGCCCTCTTGGAGCCGTCTTGGGCCATCTTGGACGCCCCAACGACCCGCGGAACCCTCCGTCCAGGTCCAGGGGAGGGGGTAGGGGGAGGGGTAAACCCCTCCCCGAAGGGGAAGAAGGGGGTTGGAAGAGGAAGCTCTCTAGACCACCGACGCCCAGAGGGCTGGTCGGATTCACGAGCATACAGTAGGGGCTCGACCACAAGAAACCTTCCACAAGAAACCCTACCCTGAGAATCCAGGACGTCCATTGAGTTTTGGTGTGGGAAGGTCACGCTGTCCATAGCAAAAACCATTGAAACCCAAGCAACCCAGGGCAGCCTGGAGGCAAGCAGGGTGTTTCTTGGCATGGGTTTCCACAGTAGTACCAACAGTGTGGTGCCACACATGCCACCGACAACTTAATGCAAACACAGCGCTTGGAGGCCCCTAAGAACCTTTGAGGGTCTATGCGAGCCCCCTGGAGGTAAGCCGTTGGGAGTCCTGAGGCCCCCGGGGAGCTCCTGGCAGCCCAGCAGATCTGAGAGGCCCCCTGGGGTCCCTGGGAAACCCTCGAAGTATCCATAGCGTAGTGTCCACAGTTTTGCCTCAGTGGCGCAACGTCAATAGCGGAGCGCCAGCAGCAGCGTACTCTCCCAGGGACCTCCCAGGGGCGCCCAGGAGGCTTCCTGGTCCTCTAAGAGGCTCCCGGTGCCTGCAGGGATTTCCCAGGAGGGGGGGGAGGCTTTGGAGGGGCCTGCTACTAGGTGCTTCACATGACCCCCCAAGTTGCTGACGCTGCTGACGTTGTTGACACACGCTCCTGACGCTACAATGTGAAAGGCAGGGGCTTTGACATTAGTGGTAGGGCTGTTGATGTTGCGGTGATGACACTACGCTTGCAAAGCTCCCCTGGAGGCTCCCTGAAAACTCCCGGGGCTTTCCAGGGAGTTCCAAGAGCCTTCCAGGAGACCCTCCAGGGGAGCCTCCGAAGGCTGATGACGGTTTGACAGTGACACAACGTTTTTCCTTGACCACGTACGCCTTAGGAACTTGACTCTGTCTGGTTCAGGTTGCCCATCGGCAATCCTTGTCCTCATCAGGATCCTCGACACCTTCACGAATGTGGTACCCGTCCATGGTCTTGTTCTTGACATCGACCTCCAGTTCATACTTGCCGTGCTTCCCCCAATCGATGATGATCGTCTTCCCCTTCTTGTCGACAGACCAGTGCGCATCGCCATCTTTGGTGAAACACACGAAATGGTTCTCACCATCACACCTGAACTCTACAGATACAGTACCATCTGGGGACTTGAAGTCCCACTCTGTGCCGTCCCCATCTCCGAAGAGAAGTTTCTCGAGAGGGGTCAGTGCCCCATTGTAGATGGTCTTGCGCCACTTCTTGGATTCCTCTTGGTGAAGGCAGTGCCCCTGCAAGTGCTTTCCTTCGCTGACGGTGAAAATGAATCGTCCGTAGTCTTTCCAATCGATGAGAATCTCTCCGTCGAGAATCTTCCAAGTAGCTGCTGTTTTGTGATCCCCGCAATAGAAATGGCCTCCAGGCCTGAAGCAGACCTTCATCTGGCCACCTGGCCAGTACATTATGTGCCAGCCAATGACATCGGCCTCAAGAGGGCCGACCTTGGCCTTCTTCTCCGCCATTTCGCTCGAATTAGCTTGGCCAGACCTGTACGCCAGCCGATGCAGTACTTGATTGAGCACAAGCTTGAGATGCGATTTGGCGAATCGGGGCATCAAATAATGATCCCCCTCCCAGCGAAGCGAAGATCACGCATAACACACGCCCAATCCATATCACCACGAGCTGTGTACTTCTGTAAAGCCAGCTCACCAACACCACATAACGCAATCACGAACCACGAACGACAATGTTTTCTTTGCGGCACGGGCTGTGGCTAGGGGGCGGTTGGGTGGGGGGTGCGAGGAGAGGAGAAGGATTAGTATTCGGAGCGCCAAGAGGAAGCGGCGGACACGGGTGACAAAGGAATGGGGCAAGCAGCGACACAGGAGGACAGTGGGATGGAAGGACGAAGGAGGGAGGAGAACGGAGCAAGGATGTGGGAGGAAGAGATGGGGTGGCGGAGGACAGCCTCTGGTAGGCTCTGGTGGCGACGGAGGAGGGCGAGAATGAGGAGGGAGAGCGAAGCGGATGGCAGAGAGGCAGGAGCAGTGGGGGAGGGGGGGGAGGTGGGGGGAGGAGGCGGGCGGCGGCAGGATGGAGGATGGAGGGATGGAGTGGGGAGGGAATTGAGGGAAGGGGGCGGGAGGGAGGAGGAAGAGGAAAGGAGCCTGAGCAGTGAGGAGGGAGATGCGGTGAGATGCGGGGAGGAGAGAGGAGGAGGAGAATGACGAGGGCAACGATGAGGAGGAGGTAGGTGAGGGTGAAGAGAGAGCGGGCGAGGGAGGAGGGGGTGGTATGACCATGAGGGAGAAGGGAAGGAGTGACATGGAGGAGAGATGGAGGAGGGAGGATGATGGAACACAGAAGAAGGGAGATGATGAGGAGGAGGAGGAGGAGAAAGAGGGGGACGGTGTAGGAAGAGGACGCTAACTGAGGATGGTGGCGGGGGGGAAAGGAGGCACGATGAGAGAGACAGATACGACCATACAAACTGCAGATAGATCGGCTTGTACCATGCATGTCTATATGTGTGTGTATATATATATATATATATATATTCCATGCAACATGTATAAAAATATGCATACCACCTAGTATTAATGATGCAGCTGATCGTCTGTTTATGGGCAAACGCCATGGCATGTGTATGCTAAGATGTGTATGTTTGTGCCAGTACATACATGTGTATATTTGCGCATGATTTAAAAGCAGTGGCTACGAAACTCGTGTAGGCAGTGCAATATACATGACACAATGTGTATCATGGTATGTATACTTTACACCATGCACTGTATATACATGCTCCATCATTCCGTGTTAGATATTGAAGACATGCCAACCAAGCGTATGCACATCCTACACCTATATATATATATATATAAACATTCACCTGCCAACATGTGTACACTTCTGTTTACATAGGCACACCATCTAGCATACGTTGGTGTAGTAAGTTTATTTGTTAGACACATATATATGTATGTATGTAGATAGAAGTATCCGTCACCGTGCCCTTGCGGCACGAGTTGGAGTGTCCTCAGGTCTCTTGTTGGATGCCCTAGAGCCTCAGTCTTCAACCCCGAGGATTCTGCAAGGGGCTCTGGATCCCAAACTGCCAAATCGGCCAGGGCGCGCTGCGTGGCCCCAAGGGCCCGTCGCGTCTTGTCGCGTGACTTTGTCGGCCGCAAGAGGGCCCCAAGAAGGGCCCACGCGGCCCCATGAGGCCCTGCGACGGTCTAAGAATACCCCGAATCGGCGACTAACCAGTCCAAGATGCCCAAGATGGGCTCCAGTCGGCCGAAAATGTGTCCAAGGTCCCCCAAGAGTCCCAGGAGCCGTCCCAAGAGGGCCTCGAAAGGCCAGCATCACAGATTTCCCGTTGTGTTTGGAATCCTTTTGGAATCCTCGGCTGTTCGGTCTTCCGACAGCCCTAGAGGCCCCCAAGACCGCTCCAAGACGGCCCAAGAGGCCCCCAAGCGGGCCCAAAGAGGGTCCTCAGACGGCCCAAGAGGGCTTCAAGACGCTCCCAGCCAGAAGCGCCCAAGACGACCCGAGAGGGCACAAAGACAGCCCAAAGAAAGGCCCAAAAGGGGGAACACGAACGGAAAATCCGAGCCTTCCGCCCCAAGAGATCCCCAGGAAGCCCCAAGGAGGCGCCAAGAGGCTTCCAAGAGGCCCAAAGGGATCCCCAAGAGGCCCCTAAGACGCCCCCAGAGGCACCAAAACTGCTCCCATGAGGCCGCCAAACGGCCCCCAAGAGACCCCTGAGAGGCCCCCCGCAACATCCCAACGAACATCCTCGAGGCCCATGACCCACAACCCAGGCACTGTGGCGGGATGGGCCGAAGGTCATTCGATGTATTTCTAGATGCAGACATATATATATATATATATATGTGTAACTAAATAAACAAGAATATACATAGATCTGGTAATCGACAGGAGGAGAGGGATAGAGAGAGAGGGAGAGAAAGACAGAAAGAGGGAGAGAAAGAGAGAGAGAGAGAGAGACGCGGGGATGCGTCCGCGTGCTCGCTCGGTGGCACGCGCAAGGACCGGGCAACTGATTCCCTGCGTGGCCCTGGGTCGACTGCGCCTGGTCGGGCAACGCTGAGACGAAGCCACGACACGGACGACATCGGACCAGGACACTTCGGGGATCTCTGAGATCCAGCGGTTCTGGAGGACGTATTGTGCGCCGCGGCCGCCATCCCAGAGCGGCTCTGAGAGCGTTCCAGAACGCTCTGGAGCAATTTATCCTGGTCCTGGGCCCACGCGAGATGCTGCTCCCGCCTTCGGCGCTTCGCATTAGAAGGAAACCCTCAGTAAGGATGCGAAATACATGTGCAACACATCCTTGGACGTCCGCGCGGGAACAACTTCGCCGACATCCAGCCAACAAGCTGTGGATCTGCGACAACTGATGGACACCAGGGCCAAGATGTGGGCATCCTTGATGACATGCTGGGACCATGCTGTGGACTTTTACCGCACAATCTCGGCTCTTCTGGGCACGCCCTAATTGCGCACAGGAAAAAGAATATTGGCACGATGCGCGCAACAAATGTTGTCCTAATGTGACAGCGGCCGCTTTTGGGATGCGACCTGTTGCCTCGAATGGACCGCATCCGCAGCGACACCGACAGCGGCTCCTGTTCGAAATGGGCAGGACGTGCTGTCGGTCTTCCCAGCGGTTCCTTCCGTACCCATTTCGATCGTACACGTCTCTGGCTCAGACACCATCAACCATCGAGACACGACCCGTGACGAAATCGCTGGCCCTTCGGGGACGGAACGAGAACTCCAGGGGCCCGGCACGCGAAAAGATCACGACGGTGGAGTCACGGTCGGACCCAGAGGGGATGGATAACCTTCTGGCCGAGGGTCTCGGCGGCAGAGCTGCGGAACGTTGCTCCTGCATCGAGACGCCCAGAAGAGAGAGAGAGAGAGAGAGAAAGAAAGAAAGAGAGAGAGAGAGAGAGCACGCACACAACAGGCACACGAGAAAATAAACTTACCTGCCAGCAGGTGTCCCACAAGAGTTTCGTGCCCCCTGATGGACCAGGAAGCATCTGTGGCGCCTTACGAACCTCAAGGTCGACGAGGGATGTGTCCCCCCCTGGAGTTCTCACAGCAAGTTTGCGCCTCGAGTGAGCCAGCCCAAAACAAACAGCTATGCAGGTGCACGCACGTTCTACGGAGGAGGTGGAGAAGAGGAATCCTAGACCTCCAGTCGCCGCAGAAACTTAGTGTCGTCATTTGTTTGTTCAATTGCGGCATCCAAGGGCCGCGCTAAGGCCCGTGGTACCTGAGCGCAGAAAGAACGGGCTGGGTCGATAAGCCTGTCCTGGGGAGCGGAACGGGAGCTCTGGGGGCCCACGTCGTGGAGAAACCCTGCCTTTGGGGGGCCTGGGAGCGATGAGAAGCGAGTGCCCCAGACCCCCGGCGTCATGATTTTTTCATGACGTCGACCCCCAGAGGTCTGGACCCTCTCCCTGGGACCGGTTGCTCATCCTGAACCGTTTTTTGACGGTCCCGGGACACGGTAAGTGCCCCCGGAGGCGGAAAGTGGCGCAAAACCTTCCGTTTTTATTTTTTCACGACGCGAGGGGGTCTGGAACGCCAACTATGCACCTACACCGGTCCTGGCCAGGCTCATCCCTAGGCCCAGGACCGGTGCAGACGTCCTCCTGGCATGGGCAGGAAGGCACAAACACCGATCCTTCGGCGCAGGATCGGCCTGGTCAGGGTCGGTGTAGGCGCATAGTTGGTGCTCTCCGAGAGAAGTTCGGAGGCAGCTACTGGGAGGTCTTCGTCGGAAGGACTATGGAGGATTAAGCCCCGTTGGGGGGCTGCTACGCCGGATTAGGCAGCGGACTAAGCCGGATTAAGCCGGATTAAACGGGATCGAGCCGTATTAAGCGGGATTAGCCCGGATGTCGGAACAGGGCAAAGTCAGAATTTGACCTCCCAGGAATTGCATCCGAAAAAAAGGGAGGCCGGAAACAGGGGGAGCTCTTTTGGTTCAAACAATGGATCGCGCAGATGTTCGCCTCTGTTTGTTCTCGCACCCACGGCGGCCAATTCGGCCGCCGTTTCGCCAGGAAGGTGCACAGCACAGTTCGACTGAGAATGGCAGGACTGGGGACAGACTACGGCGTCGGCAAAGAGCAGGCACCGCCGCCTGGGCACCCAACCTCCATGCCACTCGCAGGCACAGGCAAGACTAGGGCATGCAATCCGCGCACAACGGCGCGGCCACGACACGGATAGCTGCGAAGGTCGAAGAGCGCAGGCTGCTGCGCCGCCGCCGTCCCCTCTGCTGACTGCTGCCCCCCGGTGTCCGTGGCACACTCCCCCCCCGCTCCTTCCACCCCGCGCGACAGACGACGGCGGCGCGCCCGCGGGAAACTCTCCAGAGCTCGACCTCCAAGGCTGAATTCAGGCGCACGCGCACAAGCAAAAAACCATAATAAGGACGCAAGGTGAGGATGCAACACCCTTGGACGTACCGTGTTCAATGTAGGGATCCTTGGACGTCAACGTTGGCTCAGGATGAGCCGAAGAAGCAGGGATGCAAAAAGTAGCCTTGATGAAGCAGCACATCCTTACCATGGATTCTCACTTTCGAATGCGGGAAAGCCGAGCGGCGAACATACCCGTATCTGCCCCCTCGCGGTCTGGATTCTGGGGCGCGATCCCGCGGATACGCGGACGCACGGATAAGTTCCGCGCGGGCCATCCGCGAACAAAAACGCCCCGTATCCGCAAGGTTGCGGCCCAGGGACTTGACCCGCGAGGCCACGGATACGGATATGTTATTCTCGCCCAAGAACTGGGTCCGGCCGGCCAGGCGAGAGGCGCGTGTACCGAATGGCGCAGGCCCAGAGATCCGGCCGCTCGCCTTGTTCGCAGCGCGGGCCCCGCCCCTTGGGGGTCAGCTGCTCATCTGGAGCAGTTTCTTGACGGAGCCCGAAGAAGCTGGCCCCAAAGGCTCGAAAACTGGTGCAACAAAACCGGGCGTCCCGACCTTTTCGAGCGGCTGGATGCCTGGGCGAGGGGCAACGACAGGCGTCACAGGCTCAGGATGCAGAAGGCATGAGGCAGGAGAAGGAGAAGTTCAAGGAGGAGGGAGAGGAGGTGGAGGAGGAGGCAGGAGGCAGGAGGCAGGAGGCAGGAGGATGAAGCAAGCGGCATGAGGCAGGAACTTCGACCTGGAATCGGAAATCGCTGATACATCTCGGTGGTCGATCGACGACAGGCCCCAGGTGGCGAATCCGCATGCTCCTTGGCGGGGTGGGCTATCAAGCACCTGTCGACGATCAATGGGCGATTGCCGCCCGAAGAAGCCAGCTTCCAGAGGCCCGAGGTGGCGAACGAAACTCGATGTCCCGACCTTCTGGACGAGCCACTAAATACCTGGGCTAGGGGCAACGATAGCAAGCTGAGATAGGAGAGAGCACGCCCATGGTACACTCCCAAAGGGGGTGGGGACCTCCTTAATTACCCCCCCCCGTGGAAATCCCTGCCGGACGCCCCCCCTCCTTTTTGTCTGCCCCTCGGACGCTACCCCCCCCTCCTTGTCGCGCGCCGGAAGCTACCCCACCCCTCTCTGTCCAAAGGGGGGGAGGCTTAGCTATCCTCTCGCTCCCCCCCTTGGACCTCCCCTGCCTGAAGCCCCACCCTCCCTCCTTTTTCCGCCTCTCGGAAGCTACCCCCCCCCCCTCCCCTTTCGCGCTCCAGAAGCTACCCCCCCCGCCTTTCCAAAGGGGGGGGGGCCTAGCTACCTCCCCCCTTTGAACATTCCCTGCTGGAAGCCCCCCCCACTCCCCCCCTTTCGGGCTAAAGGGGGGGGAAGCTTGGACCCCCCCCTACCCTTTGGCTAAAGGAAGGGGCGCCGAAGATCAAAAGGGCGCCGAAAGACCAACAGAGCGTCGAAAACCAAAAAACCATCGAAAACCAAAAGGGTGCGAAAACCAGAGGCGCGCCGAAAACCAAAGGAACGCCGAAAACCGAACGGGCGCCGAAAACAGAAGGTGCGCCGAAAACCAAAAGGACGCCAAAAACCAAAGGAGGGTCGAAAACCAAAGGAGAGCCGAAAACCAAAGGGGCGCCGAAAACCAAGAGGGCGCCGACAACCAAACGGGAGCCGAAGACCAAAGGAGCACCGAAAACCAAAAGAGCGCAGAAAAGAAAAGGAACGCCGAAAACCAAAGGGGCGCCGAAAACTACGAACGCGCCGAAAAACTAAGGAGCGCCGAAAACCGAAAGGGCGCCGAAAACCAGAGGGACACCGAAAACCGAGGGGGCGTAGAAAACCAACAGGGTGACAAACACCTACTAAAAAGCAGACCACAAGAAGTGGCGCCGAACACAAAAAAAATAGGGTGCCGACAACCAAAGGGGCGCCGAAAACCACGAGGGCGCCGAAAACCAAAGGGGCGCCGAACACCCAAGGGGCGCCGAAAACCAAAATGAACGCCGAAAACCAAAGGGGCGCCGAAAACCAACGACGCGCCGAAAGCCGAAAGGGCGCCGAAAACAAAAAGGGCGCCGAAAACCAAAAGGGCGCCGACAACGAAAGGGGCGCCGAAAACTACAGAAGCTCCGAAGACGGACATGGCGCTGAAAACAAAAAGGGCGCCGAAAACCAAAAGGACGCCGAAAACCTGAGAGGCGCCGAAAACCCAAGGGGTGCCGAAAACCTCAGAGGCGACGATAACCAAAGGGGTGCCGAAAACCAGCGATGCGCCGGAAAGCAAAAGGGCGCCGAAAAATCAAAGACGCGCCGATAAACAAAAGGGTGTCGAAAACCAAAGAGCATCCCAAACCAAAGGCGCGCCGAAAGCCAAAGGACGCCCAAAACCAAAGAGGCGCCGAAAACCAAAGAGGCGACGAAAACCAAAAGGGCGCCGAAACTAAAGGGGCGCCGAAAATCAAAAAGGCGCCGAAAACCTATAGAGCGCCGAAACCAAAGGGGCGCCGGAACCCAAGTGAGTGCCGAAAACCAACGATGCGCCGAAAACCAGAGGGCGCGCTGGAAACCAAATGGGGCGTCGCAAACCAAAGGAGCGCCGAAAACCACAGGAGCCCCGAAAACCAAAGGAGCGCCGAAAACCAAAGGAGCGCGGAAAACCGAAGGGGCGCCAAAGGCCAAGGTGCGCCGAAAACCAAAGAGACGCCAAAAACCACAAGTACGCCGAGAATCAACGAGGCGCCGAAAACCAAATCAGAAAAGTAGCTTTGAAGCCCCCCCTTGAGCCAGGGCCCTCAGGCTGTAAAGGCCAACAAAAGGAGGGGATGGGGGGGGTAGCTTCGGAAGCCCCCCCCCTTTCTGGAAAAGGGCAGCCCAAGCTTACCCTGGGCTCCGAAAAGGAGGGGGGGGTAGCCTCCAAGCCCGCCCCCTTTTGCCAGGTACCCCCAGCTACAAAATCCAAACGAAAAGAAGGGGGGGAGTAGGTTCGGAAGCCCCTCCCTTTGAAAGGGGAGCCTGGGCTGACCCCGGGCCCCGACAACAAGGGGGGGAGACGGGGGGTAGCTTTGGAAGCCCCCCTCCCCTTTTCCAGGGGACGGGGGGGGGTAGCTTGAAGCTGGGGCCGCCTTTTTTAGTGAGACGTGTGCCACGAGCGCGTTTTTTCTGAGATGGGGGGAGCCTGTCTCGGGGGCGGTGGGGGGGAACATCGACCGGGCATCGGCGATACACCGCCGACAGATAGGCCAGGCCCCCAGTAGCGAATCCGCGCGCTCCTGGGCGGGGTGGGCCCTTCTCGATGAGCCGCCGGATGCCCGGGCCCCGTGGGCGAGCGCGATGGCCGCGACCAGCGGCCGTGGAGAGCCACGCGGGCACGCTCAGCGGGAGCACAGCAGCGGCGACGCCCCGAACGGCGACGCGCCCACACCGCAGCCCGCCGGCGGCGGAGCTTCTGGTCCAACCGCGATGCCCGGGAGGCCGAAGAGGCCGGTGAGGCCCAGGGATCTGGCCCCTGCCAGGTCCGACGAGCCTGAAGCAGCAATCTCCACCTCCTCCTCCTCCTCCTCCTCCTCCTCCTCCTCCTCCTCCTCTCCTCCTCTCCTCCTCCTCCTCCTCCTCTCCTCCTCCTCTCCTCCTCCTCCTCCTCCTCCTCCTCCTCCTCCTCCTCCTCCTCCTCATCCTCATCCTCCTCCTCCTTGTCCCACTCCTCCTCCTCCTCTCCTCCTCCTCCTCCCCTCCTCCTCCTCCCCTCCTCCTCCTCCTCCACTCTGCTCCTCCTCCTCTTCCTCCTCCTCCTCTCCTCCTCCTCCTCCTCCTCTCCTCCTCCTCTCTCCTCCTCCTCCTTCTCCTCCTCCTCCTCCTCCTCCTCCTCCTCCTCCGCGTTCTCCTCCTGCTCCTCCGCGTTTTCATCCTCCTCCTCCTCCTGCTTCTGCTCCTGCTCTTGCTCCTGCTCGTGCTCCTGCTCCTGCTCCTCCTCCTTTTTCCGTTGACCAAACCTGAATCCTACGATTGTGGCATTCTTCCTCCTCCTCCTCCTCCTCCTCCTCCTCCTCCGCCTCCTCCTCCTCCTCCTCCCTCCTCCTCCTCCTCCTCCTCCTCCTTGTCCCTCTCCTCCTCTTCTTCCTCCTCCTCCTCCTCCTCCTCCTCCTTCTCGTTGTGCCTCTCCTTCTCCTCCTTCCCCTTCCGTCCCCTCCTAATCGACGGCGCAAACATCAATTTTCGGTTGTCCGCCCTAATTTCTGGGATCGGCGCCAGGCCGCCTCCCTGGCGCGCGCAGCGTGCCACGGGCGGCACTGGAGGTGCCGCCAGGGGAGGACGGGCACAACACCGATCCACTGAATCAGTGCGGACCTCGAAAAGTTCTTGTTTGCACCGTCTCGAGGGAGGAGCATGAGGGCAACGTCTGACAAACCTTCTCGCTTTCAGGACTCAGGAGTCAGGGGGAGGCGGAGGAGGAGGAGGAACAGGAGGAGGAGGAGGAGGAAGAGGAGAAGGAGGAGGAGGAAAGGAAAAGGAGGAGGAGGAGGAGGAGGAGGAGGAAGAGGGGGAGGAGGGGGGAGAGGAGGAGGAGAAGGATAAGGAGGAGGAGGAGGAGGAGGAGGAGGAGGAGGAGGAGGAGAGGGAGAAGGAGGACGAGAGGGACAAGGAGAAGGAGGACAAGGAGGAGGAGGAGAAAGATAATCATTCAGGAGACGGACAAGGCGGATAAGGAGGAGGAGGAGGACGAGAAGGAGGAGGAGGAATGAGGAATGTGAGAAGGAGGGGAGGGACAAGGATCATGATGTAGCGGGCTCGCTGCAGAGCGCAGCTGCAAAGACAATACATGTTACATGCGCATGTGATCCAGACGCGTCGCTAACATGCGCGCGTGCGAACGCGCTCGTGCACACGCTCGCTTGCATACATGCGCACGCGCGCGTGCTCGTGCCATCCATGCACACGCGCGTTGCACATCACACGCGCAATATGCACAGAGCCTTGCAAGAACTGCCCTAACAAGCCTGCCCTTTCCGATGACATGTGCGAGCGCTTCTTAGCAATGGCCTTGCCAAGAACTGCCGCTCGTGCCCGTGTACACGTGTGCTGTTGTTGAACCACCCGCTCGGCCGAGACATCACCCACCCCCAGAGTATGAGTTTGAGCTGGTATGGCCTCAGTGTTGCGCCTCATGCTCGCACGCTTTGCTTCAATCGCGGGCATGTCGAGGCGGATTGCCATCGCGAGCAAGAGCAACTTGTTATGAAACTCCGACTCTGTCAGGCCAAAATGTTGTTTCATCGGATCATTGCCCAAGTTGCCCCTAATGCCATCAGGAGGGGTGCGTAACGCATACTTGCAGGAACGATGCGGGTGTTCATGGAGCTGATGCACCACCGATCCCAACATAGAAAACGCACGAAACGCTAACGCATTGAACTGAACAGCCGAAGAGTCGAATAGTTCCCGAGGAACGCACGCCACATGCTTTCATTATTCGAAATGCACACCAGGTTTTGTAAACATCATGTCCCAAGAAAATATTTGCTGCAATGGCCACGCGATGCAACCTAGTGTCACAAACGTCTGCATCCTGATCGCTCAGATGGTACATTGCAAAATGGTTTCGTTGAGCCATCTCCCAGTTGAGCCTGGGTGCGCAAAATGTTCGCAATGGTGGGCGTGAACACCAGGCGCATTGGCATCATTTCACCAAACATATTCCCTGAACCAGCCAATGCGATCGACTTGTCACGAACTTTTGCTTCTGTTGTTGCGTAACCCGGTTGGGCATCACCATATATCTCCAGATGTGTATCTCCAGATTTTGCCAAGGTCTACCGAGCGCGTGTCGAACGTGCCGAATCGGAAAGGTCATCCCCGTCGTGTGTGCCCCCCCCCCGCCCCCTCGTGCTATTTATGCGTATATTATCGCGTGTGTCATCAACGCTGCTGTGCCCACCGCACGCAATAGCTTGCACACATACAGGGCACATTGCACTCGCTAATCCGTAAAACGCCTCGAGTTTCCCGCAAAAGCCAACCGCAATCTCGCAACCTGTCCAACGATGTCGTGGCCACACCTTCGGTTATGAGCGACCAACACATACAATAGAACCCGTCCAATGATCGTTGCAATGATGTCGGAATCAGCGTCGTGATCGTGGCCATCTGGAACCAATTACCTTACACCCGTTGTATTCTTCCAGTCCCCTCGTGGCAAACATGCAGCTAAAACCCGCTTGACTTCGGAATCTGGCCCAGTGCTGAGGAACATTTGCAAGATCGTTTGTCTGTCTTGAGGTGCCTCTTTCGGTATTCCACCACAAATGGCTGTGAGCCTCCTCCTTATGGCACTCTTCAAACAACTCCGCAGTTTATTGAGCTTTCCACTGGGCTGCAATGGCAGCGTACAGTTTGTTAACGACAACACTTTTGGACCCATCAACCCTTCGAGAGACTTTGAATGTACGCCGGCTGTCACGTGAAACTCGCACGGGAAGGAAGCCGACGCCCAGTCTCCAGAGCGATCAGTCGCTACTCTCTTTTCGGCCAGTATGTTTGGGGCTGCCTGATCGGAACATATCAAGCTGATCCTTCGCAAACAATCCAAACTCGCAGCGCAGACTATACAATTTCTCAACACCGCATGCTTCAAACTATCGGCGGAGGTGGAGTCTAATGGCTGCAGCGGCAGACTCCATGCATACACAACTGAACAGAGTCCCCACCGATGCCGACCAACAGCCAGCAAAACTGCTCAGTTTAAAAAGTTGTGTGACCATTGGTGCTTTCGACTAATTTCACAGATGCCGTACTGTTTACGCAACAGCCTTGGAAAACAAACTGGCGCAAACACTATCTTTACTCATGTCAATCGTTCTGGGCACCAAATCACATTTCACGTTCAAATTGAGATGTGTTTCATCGTGCAGCACCGGATCCGCGACGCAACTATTCTTCCCCAGCCAAGACACAATCGCTTCAATCCTCGATCGAATGAGAGCCTGCATCTGAATGAGGGCCTCCGCAAGCTTATGAAACATCGGCTGGATGACCTGCGGTGCATATCCCAGCTCATTTTCTATTTCGCGCCAGTGGATCTGTCACCCAGTATTTATCTATACTCAAGGCAGCCTGGTTCAAACCTTAACCTGGAAGCGAAACGTTGAATGCACAATCAACCTAATGAGAAGACAAAGGGCTGCCGGGACAACTACCGATAGCAGAGACACAGGTACACTTTGTTCATGATGTGAAAGCACAATCTGGTTGCTTTCTGGACGAGGCGACGCGACGAGTGCTCTGCACCCTCGCCAGCTCACTCACCGACGAGAGCGGGCGACCACGGCCGCGCCGAAGGGGCAGCGCGGGGGCGCCTGCAGCCAGCGCGGTAAAGACCGCCGAGCTGCCGATGCCCGGGGCAGGGCTGAGCGGCTCAGCCGCGGAGGCATCTCTGCCCCGGGAGGGCGCGGCGCGGCGACGGCTCCATCGCCGAATCGGGGCGCCGTCCGACTCCGCTGGCCCCTCAGGGGCGCATGCGGAGCCCCACCCCATGGAGCCCGCTGTTGAAATGAAGCGGCAGTGAATGGTAAAAAGGGAGAATGGGGGGAGAAGGTGGCGGAATCGAAAAGCCAAGGGGCGCGTGGATCAATGACGGGGAACAGACGCGAATGGCCATGTGGAGAACGACGTTGGCTAGACATGGCCCACCCGTTGCACATTCGAACGTAAACAGATCGCTTCGCTTAGGGGACCCCTTCTGTGCAATCGTGGCCCTGTCGGCGACGCATCACCGATGCATCGGCGTTGAGCGGACGCTGTGTTATACGTTCCTCCTCTTCCTGTTCTTCCCAGTCGTTTATCATGTGTTAATTCCCACCGTCCTCCGCCCTGTCCTCCTGGTCCTTACCTTCGTCTCCGCTCTTCATCCTTACTCCTTTGCTACTGGCATTGCCCCTCCCTCAACCTGAGGCATCCGCCCCCTGCTCCTTGTTCTCCTTGGTCGGCTCCGTAAGCTTTGACATCTCGCATGTCGCACCGCCTCCCCTACCATGCAAAGGACGATGCTGTCACCTTACGGAATCCTTAACCTAATTAATTAACCCAACGTGGGACGGAACGCGGCAATGCGGGGGTGGGCACGTGACCGCGGTAATTTTAAGCAGCGTGTTGAATGAGTAAACGCGCACATATACAAACGCGGGGGCTGGAATGGAGAGACGTTTGGTCGCGAGCTGTTGTTTGAGGGCCGCTTGACGCAATAGGTGCGAAAATAGCGCCCGCATCTAGCGCCCCCCCCGTGTTGTAGGATATCAAAGTGTTGCAATCGTTGTGAGTTGCTAACTGGTGCGCGCCACTAAGCACGGATATGCACAGTTCGTCGCGTGTACACATATGCGTTTCTTAATGACATCAACGGGTCCCCAGCGCTGGGCGAACAGCTACTCGGACCAACACTCATATGAACAACGACTGGGTGTGTGATCTGCGCCTGGCGCTTAGAAGTCTGTACAAGCCTACGGGGCGTGCGGGGCATATGACTTGCTGCGCACTCACCTATCATTGAGGCCCCCGTCCTGCGCGTCATGGGTTACTTTCGTCATAAATCATCAAGCCTACTTGTGCGTTAGTGTGATGTGATTTCAGGTTTTTGTAATAGAGGCCCTCTCTAGCTGGGGTCTTCCATCACGGTCCATCACAAGACAATGAGGAGCAGGAGGAGCAGGAGGAGGACGCTGAGGAGAAGGACGCGAAGGAGGAGGAGGGGGGAGGAGGAGGAGGAGGAGGAGGAGGAGGAGGAGGAGGAGGAGGAGGAGGAGGAGGGTGCCGCTTTCCCTCCTTCGAGCCTCCCGCCCCCGCCGCGCCGGCGGCGGCCTCGGCCTCGGCCTTGGCCTCGGCCTCCCGCTCGCGGGCCCGCTCCCGCTCCAGCAGCGCCTCCCGCGCCGCCTCGCTGGCCCGGGCCCTCTCGGCCAGCTGCGCGGCGGCCTGCGCCGCCGCCTTGCGGGCCTCGTGCTCCTCGCGCCTTTCCTCGCAGGGCAACTGCAAGAGGTACAATAAGACGAAACCAAGACGATGATAACATCGGGTAAGGATAAATCGAGCGTCGTATCGGGCGTCGTGACCTTCTCAGAGCGTTCTGGAACGGTCTGAGAGCGTTCTGGAACGCCCTGGAACGGATTGATCCTCGTTCTAGCCCCGCCCGATACAGTGAACCCGTATTATGAGGGCGCACGATGCAAGGGCCTTGGAAGGCCGTGTCGACACTTTGTGAGCGGAGCGCGGCCAGCGAAAGCGGCCAAGGATGGGCCGAATGAGGAAGGATGCAGGGGCAAGCTTGGAAAACGGCTCATCCTTCCTATGCGGGCTGACTGTAGCGATGCCGCTGCTCCCCGGACCTCTCACGGGGTGCGCTCTGACCAGGATTCCCCAGCGAATCCGGCCGTGGCGACGGCGGCCTCCCAGGAAGCCCACGGAGGGCGAACACGAGGGAAGGGTTACAGCAGTGCCGATACCGTTGCGACCTCGGATCCTCCGCCTCCCTCCGCTTCGCGGCCTTCGTCGCCGCGTCCGCCGCCAGGCACGCGTCCGCCCTGGCGCGGAACTCGGCCGCGGCCGCGCTCTCGCCCAGCAGCTCGCAGGCAGCGGCGCAGCGGGCATGGGCCTCGAAGGAGCACGGACCCAGACATGCCCGCGCCGTGGCAAAAATCACGACGGAAGGCTTTTGCCCGTTTGCGCTCTCCGAGGGCCCCCGCAGGGCCAACGGAGCGTCAAGACAGGATGGACAGCCAGCCCTGGGGCAAGGACTTCCGGGGGGGCCCGCTTGCACATCAAACCATCAGACGTCTGGGGACAGACCCCGGGAGTGTCGTAGTTTGCATGAGCGTGAACTTTCGAAGGTCCGCGCGGATTTTGAGGATCGGCGCTGGGCGAGCGGCGGTGCCAGAGGCGCCGACAGAGAGGTGCAGCGGACCTCCGCAAGTTTATGGTTATGCATTTTTGCCTTCGTCGAAATAGTTTTCGCCAGCGTGGGCCCCACGCAGTAAGTTCTTGCACTGTGGGTGTGCGAGCTACTATCTGGGGTTCGAGGTACGTGGTGCAAGCTAGGCGGTGCAATTGGCGAGATCAATAACGAATTGTCAACTCCACTTCTCCTCGCGCGAACATCTCACCGTTCCACCCGCAACTTGTGGGGCACCCCTTCTGCCACCATGGCGGATGCTGATTGGCACTTGCTAGCGCGTCTCTACGGGCGCACTGACGTGCGCGCGCTCGCGCGCACAGCGACCAGCTGGTTTGGTACGACTGATGCGGCCGCGATGGCGCTCATAGATGGGACTGTCCCAGCGCGTCTCCAAGGTCGCGCTGGCGCGCGGGTACTTCGGTGCGGGTCAGTGGCTCGGACGGACGCGATACCATGATGACTACAACAACGGCAGCAACGATGATGCTAATAGCGATGGTAGTGGCGATGATGACGATGACGACGGCAGGGCCAATGACGCCGCCGATGCTGGTGACGACCATGACCATGGTGATGTCGATGTGTCGGTGATGAAGGTGATTGTGCCAGTGGTCGCGGCACGTGAGCGTTTTCTTTTTAGGCGTTTCGGCATTGGACGGAAGGGGGGGAGAGGGAGGGGCGTTCTGGCTCCGGACCTCTGCTTAATGCGACTGTTTGCAACAGTGCGTCCTGCGGGGGAGACTCCACCTGCGCGAAACAGGCGTCCGAAACAGCCAAGATTTACTCCATGGACGGGGCCGGGGAGGTGGGAGGGTCGAAGGCCCGCGCCGATCGGCAAAACAAAGATTAACAACAACGATCACCACTGGGAGCGATTGACAATGACAGTATCAGCGGTGATGCGATGGCGCTGACGAAGGTGATGAAGTGCGCGCGCGCAGAAGTTCAATGAATCTGGCAGATTCTGTGCTGCCGAATTAACGAGTTTTTGATATTGTCATCGCATGTGTTTGTAGATCTCCATGTTGAACTGCTTTGAAAACCGCGGTGCTGCAAGGATTTCGACACGCGCGCGTGGCGGCGAACGCATGTGGGCCGCTTGGTATTGTTTTGATACGGTTTCGTGCACTGTGCGCACGCTAGATCATCGCGGATCCACCCCATGGTGAGATGATACTGCGGGTTCTAGACGAAGTTGCTAATCTCGTATGGTTTCAGATGACTTCAGCAAGTGCGCGCGGGAAGACAATCAGCAAGCTTTTTCATCGACGTTAACCCTGGGCTCGAGAGGGGGGTGGATCCGATTATTCCCTTCACGCGAGAATATCTGTAAGCTTTGTGGTGCAAGCTGTGTGGTGCAAGCTATGTGGGTCAAGCTATGTGGTGGAAGCTATGTGGTGCAAGCTATGCGGTGCAATCCGCGAGGTGCAAGCTACGTGGAATAAGCGTTTTTTTGATTTCCGTCTGCAATCAATATGGCGCAAGCTGTGTGGTCCAAGCTGTGTAGTGTAAGCTCTGTGTTGTTGGCTATGTGGTGGAAGCTATGTGGTGCAAGCTATGCGGTAAAAGGATGAGTAGTGCAACCTATTTGGCGGACCAGCGCACGAGGCGCTCACGAGGCGCCTATGAGAGGGCACCAGGCGAAAACTCGGCACACATACATACACACGTATACACGTACACACATACACACGTACACACATAGACACATAGACACATAGACACATACACACACGCACACGCACACGCACACGCACACGCACTCACGCACGCAGAAGCACACACACACACACGCACACACATAACTACACACGCTACACACACACACACTTTCTTGGCCTCGCGGCCACGCGCGCGGCGACGGGGCTTAAAACACACATACACACAGCGCGGAAGTTACTCACGAGACACCCAGGAGGCACCGACAGGCACCCGGCGAAACCTTGGCAAATCAATCCAGCGCAGGAGGCGCCCACGAGGCACCAGGGAGCGGGCACCAAGCGAAATCTCGGCACACCCACCGAACGCACGAGGCGCCCACGAGGCGCCCGCGAGCGGGCACCGGGCGAAACCTCAGCACACCCACCCAGCACGAGGCGCCAACGAGGCGCCCACAGGCGTCCACCAACCAGGCGCCAGCCGAAAACCCGGCAAACCCAACCAATTCACTGAAAGTGCGAGGGGCGCCACCCCTGCGACAACCTCAAATCGACCCTCGTCGCGGACAACCGCCTGGGCGCCAAGGGCACTCCGGCCCCTGGCAACCCACTGCCCCCTTCCCCCTCCCAGGAAGGGAAAGAGGGCCCAGACATCGGATGTCTTGATTCTTTCATCACGGAGTCCCCCGAAGTCCCGGCCCTTTCTCCGAAGGCCAGCTTTCCATCGTGGATAACTGTTGAAGGTCCCAGGGTCTGACAAGGGCCCTGGAGGCAGAAATCGACGTACATCCTCCGTCTTGATTTTTTCAACCAACGAACGAAAGGAACGCCCACCGCTGCGGACAAGCGTCTGGGCCTAGCTCAGACCAGGTGGGTGCGACCGTGGCCTCTAGATTCTGGCTTGTCTGGGCACAGGCAGCCGTCCGAGACAAATAAAGTTAGGAGGAGGAGAGGAGGATGAGGAGGTGAGGAGTTAGGAGGAGGAAGAAATCCTTATTTTTGCAACCACTTTGATGATTTCGGGGGAGCAGCAACGCCGGCTTTGCGATTCTGCTCCGAGGCCTTGGCGTACGTGCTGTCCAGCTCCACGGCGCGCGCTCCCCGCCTCTCCCAAGGAATGCAAAAGGGGGC